GACCCATGTCCGTTCCCGTCCTCAACGCTGGTAAAACCTACCTCAACTTACCACCTTGGCCTCCTAAAACGGCCGGCCAGTCTGAGCGCCGGCCGTAAATGCAAGATTGGTTGGCATCATTTAATTTCTTCCTCGTCTTCTGACAAAGCCACTTTCGGCGCCTGGCGCGCCATGCCTCTACCTCTCCCTTCCTCCAGGTTCCCTTTCGGTCCTCTCGATTCATGTCATAGAATCCCGGTGCTGATTGAGCCGAATGTGTGAAGACGCACACCTCTTGATATGCCGAGAGCCCAACCTGGTACCCAATGCAACAACGGGGAAGCGTGATCCATTCCCTCTCCTCGGCCGCTCTCTTTTATCCGTCCACGTCAAAGCTCTCCAGCATCAGCACATCCAGCTCTCTGCAAAGACAAGACACGAATAAAAAAAATGAGAAATGGAAAAAACAAAAAGCGCCATAGGAGATGCAGGCTGTTCCCAAAGGAGAAGGCCAGCTCATCATCTCATTGCGGCTTCTCCGGCCGAAGCTCCACGGCCTCGATGGCTCCCGCGTCCTTGCTTCATGTTTCATGGTCCCTCTTCTTCACCGTCACTTAGAGAACACAGATTTGTCCCCATTTTCTCCCATCGCTGTGTGCTTGCAGGCCGCCGGTGACGGAATCGCTCCAGCCCGCTAATGTCGGCCTCGTGCTGCACCGGCCACTCGTGTTCCTGAGAGCTCCATATGAGAGACGACCTGGCCCTTGTTCTCTTGCCCTTGATATGAGTTGTTTGCGCTAGTCGTCTTGTAACAGGCGCTCTCCTGCAGCTTTGTGGATGATTGCAGCTTGTGGATGATCGGCGATTCAGTCCGAGCTTCACTCGCAACTCCATCTGCACATGCTGGGCATCTCTGTACAGCCCATAGGCGCTGGTCCTGCGTCCATCAACGCCACAATCCTGGTCCAGAGCCCTCTGGCGTCGCACCGGCTTCGCAAGTGTCGAATGCGTGGCAAGTTTCCCGTCATAACGTCCCTCTTTGCCCCAGAGTACAGCGTATAGCATACGGGCTCCGTATTTAACAGCGTGTTAATAGGAACCATGGCTCGGTTCCGTCTCAGGCTCAGCCCAGGTCTGATAGCTGGCCTGTTGATCGGCGTGTGTGTCTCGCCGGGGAAGCAGTGACATGCCTTCCGATCCAGTTGGCGACTCGAACCCCCCTGTGTCCGATTCACGCACGCACACACAGCTCATTGACGCAGTGCTTCCCAATCCAAGCCTTGCCCTGGGGCCTTGGGTTCTGCCCTTGGCGTTTTCATTTCGTTCCGAAACGGTGTGTTTGTGTGCGTGCGCCTGCTGTCGAACTCATCCTTCTCCGCCCTCTGGCACTCCCCCCCCCCTTTAACGCCACATCCACAATTAAAGATCCCCCCCGGAGAATAGAGCCGCGACAGGGGTTTGGATTCGTTCGTGATATCCTTGCGGACTTTGCCCTGTACACACATCATTAACATAGATGGGGTCAGCTAGCAGGACCACCCAGCTCATAGGACCACTTGAGTTGATCGAACACCCCCCTTCCACCTGGGTCAGTCTCCATACCCCTAAGCATAAACCCTGAGATGAGTGCTGATGCAGTCTGCCATGCAATTTGTAAATGGCCACCCCAGGGAACAGGGCTACTTTGCGTCCAGAGGAGTGTTGCCACGTTGGCCAGATGAACACAAGCTCGCTCTCCTGGCTTCTTGCCCCCGCTATCAAGCTTCTGCTGTGCTGACGGTCCATACGCCAAAAGGACGTGCAAAGTATCATCGCAGAGCAAAACGTACGCATGTCTTCGTGTAGACTTTATCAGAGGGACCCAGGCTGCGGCGTGGATAGTATGGAGCCAATCATGGCCCCTTCTTGGGCATCCGGGATATTCATGTGAGTCGTGAGGCATGCATAGACCACCCCCATGCATGCCCATACTGAGAGAAAGAAGCCATCGTCGTGTACGGTTCTAATAGGACGTTATCAAGGTGGAAAAGGGGGAGAAGAAAGCTAAACAGCTGCAGCAGAATCGGTTGTCCCTTAAAATAGCTTGATATCCTTGAGATGCTCCATTCTTCGCGCGGGTGGAGGTCCCTCGAAGCAGTCAGAATTGCCCAGACAAAGAAGGCGTAGCCGCGGTTCAAGTCTCTCCAGCCCGAATAACGCATCGTGCATCTTGTCCAACCCCATTTGGCGCGTTAGAGTAAGATGGAGAGTGAGGAAGACGCCTTCGAGGGAGCGACAGGTGGGGATCCCTCTAAGAGCCGCATTCACAGATGCTGTGTGACCAACGGACCCTGCTGTCTTTGCTGCTTCCGGCCGCACGTCCAAACTGTTCTTCTGAGAGCTTCATATCGTGGCGCATCCGACTCGAGCAGCATGACCGCGAATGGGGAGCCCGTCGACACCATAGAAAGAGAGTGTGAGAGTATGGAAGAGGTACGAGTGAGTTCCGTGGGCCTTCGAGTAAAATAGCATATCAGCTTTTTGTTCCAGCATGTAGTTACCCAGTGTGGCTCCATTGCCTTTTGTCCCCCCGTCTGTTTTCGGCTGTTTGTTCACTTAGAGGCAGGAGGGCTGAACATGGCCCTCCCCCTTTTTGGATGATAGACACTCAGACTATCCGAAAGAAGAGATGGTACATGCGCTGAATGAGCAACCTGGTGTTTTGTAGATGCCATTCAAGCGTAGTCACTCACATACGGACTCGTAGTAGTACCAAGTACTCCCATGGGACGGCCGACATCCACATCAGCTATCCGTCAAGATTTCGTCGACTCCAAGCTCGGAGCTTGCTTTGGTGCCCTCCCAGGCTGTTTTCCCGCTACTACAGGTATGGCCACCACGGCCACACTACCGGCCACTTGCGGGACGAACGAACCAAGACCCCAGCATACACCGAAATCGACAACCTGGAACCCATACCCAGGCGGTCAGGATCCGTCCCCCTGTTCCATGACACTTGTCCATCCTCGGGACGAACCATAAGAGAAGACCCACAGTGGCCGCAGATCGAGTCGCCCACTTACTTGCTTGTGGTAGGAAAAAGAATACTAGAGGGAAATGGCAGAGCAAAGGGCCCCCAAAAACTCAGGTCCTCTTTTCTGTGTGGCGAGGACAGCATTTGTATTTTCTGGTTGTGACATGCGTGAGCGGGCATTCGAGGGGCTCCATTTGTTGTATCAAAGTGTCGGCGTGCTGCAGTGATAATGTTAACAGAGGGAGACTAGGGCTAGGAGAAGGGGATGATACGGAATGGAGTGTCTTGGTCCAATCGAGAAGGAATCGGGCAAAGCAGGAACGAAGAGAACTGTGATGAATAGCACCCAGACTTACTGTGGTAGAAGGGGCATCTTCAGGTATGCCCCTTCTCTGCGTCATCTCGGTATTGAGTTTGGTCTGCTCGCCTTCCCCGATGGTCTGTGTGCGGACAAGCTGCTCCCCCTGTATCAGGGCTTTACACGGAGCGCTTTGGCAAAGCGAAATGCGCAGGTACACGTTTGTGTACGGAGTAGCAGCATCAACAGCATGTTGAAAGAAGCAAAAGAACGCGGGGACTCTCTGATGGATTTCCCTCTCTACAGGTAGCCTATGAGGCTGGACCAACGTGGCAAGCTCCTCTGCAGGCTCACGAGCACAGCACACCACCGGAGGAACACCCCTCCCAAAAGCGGCCAAGTGGAGGAGGAGGGAAGAGGTTATGGAAAAAAGGAGATATGGGGAACGCCAAATCACATGTGTCGGCCCAAGAATTGAACTTGGGCCATGGGAATTCTTGAGAAGAGTTGGTCTCCCACTCGGCGAGTTGCGATGGCTGAGGTCAATTGGCTGTATTGTAGTCGGGAGTCATGTAATCGCGTCGTTGACGCGCCAATTGGCAGCGGTTCGGCATTTGGTAATGAGGTGATGAGGTAAGTGAATCAGTGGGCAAAGGCCAGCAAGTGAGGCAAGGGGAGGCAAGCGAATGGCATGTATGTAGCCAGCCCATGATGGTGTTCTGCATCGAGGCTACCTTACCTCCACATCAAACCCCCCACACGCACACACACACACGCACACACACACGCACACACACATGCACCGCACACGCACAATTCCACTCCCACCCCCGTACTTGGGAAACCAGGAACGTGCTACGGGATACGCCATTGCACAGCAGGCAAGGGCGTGCCACTGGGTCGAAAATGAAAAGGGGGGTGTGTGGGAGAGGTAGGGCAACTGGCATATTGGTATAGGGCAAACGTACGGATACCCAATCCACGTATCAAAGCATCTTTTTTTTTATCCCGCAGGAAGCAGGACGATAATGACGGAGTTCGTTGGCCCGTGTAGAGGGAGGCTGCTTGTTGGTCGCTGGAGAGTCCCACCGAGAGAGGATTGGGTTGTAAAGGCGCTGTATGGTAAATTGGAAAAGGACGAGGGTCGACTGGAACAGCAGTTGATCAGACTTCCAGGCGAGTATAAGTTAGCTTGGCTGTCCCCAATGGCGAGATTCAAGGAAGCCGCCAGACTTACCAGCCAAGCCTTGGATATAGAAAGACGTCGAGTAACAAAAGAAGACGAGAGGATCCTCCAATTTCCAACGTTTGAAGCCATCAACCCTCGTCAGCCGAATCTACAAGCGAGCGAGCCCCGACAAGACTAAACGGGGTGCCCTGCATCGAACGATTCCGGCGCTAGTCTGGAAATTGCGTCCTCCGGATCGTCTTTGTCTCTTTGTAGGTGCCGACTTTAGCAATCTTGGACATCTCGGTAGCATCCTCTTCCAAGCTGGGAACTGGAAGATGGAATGCCTTCGTGGTGCCCAAGGGGGGATCGGGGCTTGAAGAACGTGGCCCGTTGTCTGGCAATGTCCATTTGCTGATGCTGTTGAATCGCAATGCAGTTCTCTCGCTCCCCTTTATCCTCATCCTCCCCATCCTCTGCTACTCTCTCATTCTCCTCTTCGTCTTTGTACTCGATCGACGCCACCCCTCGACGGAGTGACCATGTGTTACTTCGAACAGACTCGTTGGAGTTGCGGCTACTGGCGTTGGGGCCACTTCCGCCAGCAGTGCAACAAGGAATACCGAATGGGCGAGACGTGCGGGCTGAAGCTGGTCTATCACACAATCCCCGAAGCGGACGTCTGCAAGTTGTGCCACGACAAAGAGAAGAAACAGCGGCGTCTCGACAAGATGGTCAAGGACGTGGAGCGTTGGAGGAGTGAAGGCAATCGCTCAGCTACCATCGAGAGGACGGAGGGCGAAATGGCAACTGTCAGGGAACAAATCTGCGCAATGGAAAACGAACATGCGCTTAGGCAATTTTCGCTGGGTCAGGTATGAGAGAAGCCCCCCCTTCCCCTTCCTTCCCCACAATGGTTTCGAGAAATCGATATACAAGACATAGAGAAGAGTTGGCAAGGAGGAAACCACCGTGGTACAAGCGGCATCTTCGTGGCTAACCCTTTCTTCTCCTTCAGTGATGATGGCAGGGGGAACCAAGTCAGCTTACAGTAGACACGGCCACAAAGTCAAAAGGCTCGCCAGCGGATATCAGAGGCTAGGCACGACGCAAGAACTGGGTCGCCCTCAGCGCAAATGGCAGACCGGGAAGAAAGAGAAACAGGCCCTGGTCATGCGGAGAGAGATTGTTTTTTCCTTGTTTTTTTTCTTTTGTCCTTGAAGGCTTCCTAAGCCACGGACGTCGTTCGCTGTCATTCCGGGTCGCCGTTTCCATCGTCTTTCTGCATTTTCAGCATGGCATGGTGCTGGGCATATGAGAAAAAAAAAGCGGTTTTTTTATGCGTCGGTTAGAAGGTCATGAGTTTGGCCGAACTTCACTGTATAACTGGTGCGATGGGTCTCACGAAGGAGCGTCTGGTTGGAAATTTTCGTTTTGCTTCTTCTTTTCATTGGGTTGCGGTAGCGAATGGGTCGTTTTGCACTCCTTTTCTTGCTTTTGCTTAGATACCTAGGTACTGGGATCCTCAAATGACATGCTCCATGTTCTGTCGACTTTCAGAGGCGCCTCTTCCGGGGCCCTGGGCTGAGCAGGGCACAGATTTCGTGTAATGGTGGGCTGAAAGAGTTTTGTGGGTGGGCCGAGTGCTGCTACTGCAGACGACTGGGGGCATTTGCTGGTGACGAAGGCTCCTCGGCGGGGTGAGGGTTGATTGTGTGGCAATGTCCATCGTTTTCTTGATGTGATGGAGGCGACTAGTAGGGGGGGTAGCGTCCATGAATAGACGTCACGTCCAGAGGCGTCAGTTGGTATCCTGGTAAATCCTATTGATGCTGGTACGAGTATAGACCGTGGAGAGCCTTGGCGAGCAAGGAAGCCTCTGCTCAGGCATGCGTAGGGGGAAGAGCCGTAAAGTCCAGTACTTGAGTACAAGCAAGCGATGAATCTCCGTGAGCAAGACGCTTCGTAGATAGTCGAGCGAATGTCTCTCGCTTATCGCGTTTGTGCCTAGGCTAGAGCGCATGTAGCCCGCTTACATGGTGCCGGGGACTTGACGTGAAGAGTCGGGGGGTGGACATGGATACAACGCAAACGAGCACCGCATCTGTGGTTGGACGCGTTGCCATTCTGCTGCGGAATCTGCCAAGCGCACCGGTCTGCCGGGACCTCCATTGAGCAGCATTGTACGGAGCCCTCGGCCCAGGTTCAAGTACGGGCCAAACAACCCGCAGGAGATGTGATCGTTGCTGTTTTCGCCTCGATCCCCGCGCCAGTCAAACGTTGTCCGGGGCCATAAGCCACTGCCGTCTGTAGCGGGCTGACTGACGGGACCGTAACAGAGGAAGCTAGGGCTGTACGATGCAGCTCCGTGGCTATTGGTAGACTGCTCTGGCGCTCTGTCTCTTCTCTCCGTTCCACGGCCGTTCCCCTCTCCCCATCCCGCCTCCGCCCATCGCTTATGGAACGGCTCCCTCTAGCCTCTCCCGTCGCTCCCAGTCGGCTGCTGGGGTTCGCAAGCCGGGGGTGGCTGGCCTCGCTCGACTCGCCCTGGACAGCCCACCGAGCTGGAACAGCGCTTCTCAGAACCGTCTCCCGATGTTGTGGTTCCCTCAGACAAGCACAAATCCCGATTATCTGGATGTGCGGCAAGCCCCCCGACCCTGCCCACCCCTCAAAACGGAACCGTGGGAACTAAAACGGCGGTGCGAGCCGAGGCCGACGAATCAGCCAGGCTAAGAGACGGAATCCGACGGCTAGCTGGACAGCCATTCCTGGACAGCTTCTGGCACTACTGTCGACCAACGACTCCACCACCTCGGCCATGCACGTGTCTGTCGCTCAATGGACGCCTTGCGGTGAAAGTATTGTTCTTTCTACTCGATGACAAGAGGCCCAATGCCTCCGTACCGTAGGCGGGCGCGAGGGAGCGAGAACCTCTTCAATCATAATCATTCACTTTCTCTTTGGCGTCTGCAGGTCCATGACGCCATGTTTCCAAATCACAATGAACCAGTTGGATTCGGCGTCAAGCGCCTAATCAACTAGTGGACGCTTTGCTGCTGAACGGAGTATGAAATGGTATTTTTTCTTTCTCTCTCTTTGACTCTCCTCCATAAAGACCACTTGCTGGCACAAGCGCTTGCCACCCCTGGTCGTGCGCTCTTTTTTTTAAAAAAAAAAAAAGGAAAATAATAAAAAAGGGAGTGCGGTGCCGGGAAATTGGTAAATCTCGGTTGAAAAGGCAGCTCGCTTGAGATGCCGACGGTCGCTCGTAAGGAAGGGTTTCCGGCCCTCGACAGCGCCTTGGGGTATCGAAGAAGATACTGACGGAAAATAAATCGAAGAAAATAAAGAAAAAGGAAAAGGGTGTTTGTGAGTGCTGACTCTATCGTTGTTCCGCTGACATCCCACTGCGTCAGATTGTTCCAAGCATCATGATGTTTTGGCAAAAAAAAGCCAAACACACGGTATAATTATTTCATGGCCGCGGCCGCATCTGCAAAGGTCCCAACAAGGGCTGCATCGTCTTCTCCGATCGATCTGGAGCTGGCCGGACGGTTGCCATGTATCTCGGTCGTATCTTCGTCGGCAAGCCAGTCGACTTTGATGTCGGCTGGCGGACTGTCCTCCTGCGTGCTAAGTTTCGATACAAGGTGGTGGTAACGAGCGACACGGGCACCTTGGCCAGCGTAGGCGAAGAGCGTTGTTGTGGCTTTGCGGCCGGTGGAGTCTTGGGGAGCGATCTCGAATATGTCGACCATGTTGCTGCAGCCAAAGTCAGTATCTTGGATCCAAGGTGCTCATAAGGCTCCCTCGAAGGGAGTGAGGTCATCTGGAAGGGACCGACTTGGATGTCTTGGCAACTACTCGCTGCAGAGCCTCATTCTCTCGCTGCGCCTCGGCATTATCGCCTTCTCCGTTGAGCGCGCCGTCGCCGAAGCTGCCGTACTGCATGCCGTTTCCATCGTCGTACAGCAGGCGATTCTCTTCAGTCTGCGGTAGGGAATGACTCGGTTAGCGCCAGATTCGCAGGCTCAAGAGATGTCGCTGTCGCGGGAGCTGCCAAAGCAGCAAAGGCGGATCGCATAGAGCTGCAGAGAATCGCAGTCAAGTAGAGATAAAGCGCACCTCATCGTACACATCCTTCTGCCGCCCTCCGAGGCATGATTGGCAGAGCCCCATGATCTCGGGCTCGGGGGTTGCGCAAGTGCGTGCAGCAGCTCGGCGCGTGGTTGGTTGACGCGTTTCTCGAAAGCTAGCAGTCGGCCGGCGTGTTCATATCATTGTTTCCAGAGCGCTCAGCTGAGGGGGCTCTGGCAAGATGCGTGGTTTTGTCGCTTCAAACCCCTGTCTTGCGATGCTTGTCGTCGGTCGTTACCTTACCTTAGTCAAGGACGAGGCGCTCACTGGCTCTGGGGGGCTCGCGAGCGCCTCGTCGGGTAAATCTCGGGTCGCGCGACAGCTTGGAGCTCCATGAACCTTGGGTGGGGATTCCTCTTTCGGCAGCTCCTCTTGTGACGCCAGTCCTTTGTTCTTTGTCAGTGCTTGACTGCTGTTGGTGATGAATCTCTTGTCACTCTCTCTTGGCTCTTCCTCTCTTGATTTGTAGCTTTACTCCACAACCATCGTGACATGGAATCCAATGCTCTTGGGCTGTCCAATCCCCAATTTCAGCGCTTCTTCTCCCTATGTCTTCCCTGTACCCCGCTATGACAGCCGCTATAGATTCATCGGTCCATCCCAGGCCATCCCTCGACATACCGAGATGGGAGAGGAGATGGTTCCCTTGGCATCTCTCAACCCCTTGAATCCAATAAACGAATATATTGTCGCCCTTCTTCAGCTCAATTGACCGGACAAACGTTCTCTACAAGTCTCAAGGGACGTAGCAGGTCCTCTACCAAAATGCCACCACTTCAGTACAGCACAGAAGATCGATAAAGGGGCTGATGGCCTCCTTTATATCGGCATTATATCGACATCCCATTCTTGATGCATCATTGCTATATTCATACCGTCAGTCTACGTTAGACTCCCCTTCCAGCAAAATTTCAGCATCCTATTCACAAGGATATAAAGAACAGGGCGATCGCTTCTCTGGTCAGTTTTTCATCCTCATCTCTCACTCAAAATCACTTGCACTTTCTCTCATATAGCTTCTTGGGATCCTACAGCCCTTTGCTCTAAGCTTGGCTCTCATTTTTGTCATTTACTTCACAGCTATCTCCAACTGCTCACATCATGCTCAGCATACTTCCTTGGGCCTTGGTGGCTCTCCCCCTGACTGAGGCCCGTTTCGGCATCCGACCAAGGGCCCAAAACAATGAGACCGTTCAGTGCTGCCCGTGTGTGTCGAGTGGCCTCAACCCACAGGCTACGACAGTCACTGTCACTGTGACGAGTCCTAAGGAAACTGTCACAGTCGACCACACAATCGTTCAGCAGGCAACCACCCTCTTCGTGACGCACACTGTGGCTCCCGGGTTGCCCAGTGCTGTAACCCCCGAGGTCACAGTTCATCCCGACCCCCCCGCCAAGGTTGAGACAGTTTTCAATGCTGTTTCCATTCCAGAGCCTTCAGTTTCAACAGAGAAGCAGCCTATCAAGACCGTTACGGTGACAGCGAAGCCAGATGAGCCCAAGTCCGTCGAGGCCCCATCTGTCATTACCGTTACCTTCACTCCTGGAAATTCAGTCTCTACACAATCGACTCCTTCGCCAGACGCATCCGAGCCATCCTCCTCAAGTAACGGCCAGGAAATCGCCGCGAGTACCGTCACCGTCACAATCGGGACCCAATCAAAGGCATCTCAGAGCACCGAGTCAAAGCCAAGCATCAAAACGATGACTTTTGGGCCGACCCCCCCAAGCGCCGAAACGGTGACTTTTGTCGAGAACCCTTCAAGCCCAACAACTGCCGCCACTGCCACCTCGGCCGACAAACCTGCAAACTCCACGAGCGAGACGGTGACGTCTAAGGAAAGCCCAGTGAGCCCAAGCACCCCTACAGTGACGCTCGCAAACAGTCCTTCGAAACCAGTTGCCGAGACGGTCACATTTGTGGAAAATTCTGCACTGTCTACCAGCGTTGCAGCGGCAACAACTACCTCAGGGGCCAATCTGGCGAACTCAACCGTTGAGTCAGCCACCTTTGCCGAGAATCTCCCCCAGCCAAGCAGCTCTTCTGCATCCACGAAGAGCTCACCAAACTCCAGTATCCAGACGGTCAATTTTGTGCCCAATACACCAAACCCTACCATCACACCCTCCTCGCCCGCTCAACCAGTCATCACCACTCCGCCACAGCTTGGAACTGGCTCACCCGTCACTGACCGCTTCACAACCCTAACGCAAACCATGACCTCCGGGGGAAACATCAGCGTCGAAATCACCATCGTCAACATCTTCACTGGCGAGAGCATCTGCAAGAAGGAGGGCAGCGACGAGCCTTGCGACTCAAGCCATGAGACTCTCCAGCTGAAACCATCAGAAAAAGTTCCTTGCTTGACAACGGGCATCTTTACAAAGACGGCAACGGCATTCAACACTGTTGTCGTGACTGTCAGTCCTGGCTTGTGGTCAAACGGAACGCTTGCGACGGGAGTTGCGCCGCCGGCTGGTGCCGCCACAGGAACGGGCAGCCCGATCCTGCGAAGGGGGAGGGTGCCGATGGTGAGGAGGCGACTGTGAGGGGTTGGATGTAATAATTGTATGGCCTTTGTATAGTGTCGAGCGCGGGTGTTGCTATCTGATTGGTATATCGGGGTGGTGCGGTATGAAAGGGGTCTGTTCATTTGGGTTGTCATGGATATCTCTGGCTTTGTATCACTTGTAGCTGTACTAATGCGTCTGTCTAGTCTTTCGTCTGAATTTCATCCGTCGATGATATATTTCATTTTATAAGCATGCTTTAACTATGCACAGCTTCTTCGGTGGCTCATCCCCTAGTTTCTTTCATTGTGTGCTCATCGTCATTATTCCATCCCAGTAGATCTCACATGAACAACGGCTGAACATTCCTCATCCCACGGGATTCACGACCAATTCTCCCGAATCACCTCAGCAATCACCCCATGATCCTCAAACTGCTTCAACCCACTCACGACAACCACGCCCACAACCCCCGCCACGCCCTGCACCCGGATCGGCACCGCGCCCCCGTGGATCGCGTACTCCCCGGCCTCGCTCGGCCCTAGACCAAACTTGGCCGCAAACGCAGCCTCGTTGCCCGCGTACTTTTGCCCCAGGTACCACGAGCTCACGCCGAAGCGGAGCACCGCCGCGCGCTTCCGGCGCACCCAACTCTCGTTGTCCGGGGTCACGCCCGCGCCCGTGGCGACCTGGTAGAGCGTCTGGGAGCCGGCGCCGTTGCTGATGGAGATGAGCGTCGCGCGGCCCTGGCGGGCAAAGGGGAGGAGGCGCGCGTAGAGGAGGTTGCCGAGCTCGACGGCGTCTTCGGCCGTGAAGGAGGAGAGGGTGAAGCCTTCTGCGCCGACGTCTGCGTCTACCAGAGCTTGAAGCTGTTCTCAGGGTGTCAATACCCAAGGGGTCAGAATCGGATATCAGGGGGAGGAAAGACTCACCTCCTCTGGTGTGCTGCCACAAGGAGGGCTCTGGATGGGAGCCGGAGGGGCAGAGTCTCGGGCTGCGCTGAGGGCCTTTTCAAGGCCGAGGCCAGCGGCGAATGATCGTTGCCAAACCTTGCGAGCCATCTTAGAACTGTTTTTCCTCACTTCTAAATCCTCCTTGAAATTGAATTGTCGTCAATGGGAGAAGGTTGAAATAGTTGAATGAGACTCAAGTTATAAAGATTTTGAAGTATAAAGGTAAAGGTATGTCATCTTCAAGCATCGACGTCAACTCCAACCTTAAATGCTTCTGCACTAAACCCCACCGGCCCGACTAAACCATCGTCACCTCAGCTCTTGGAAGAAAAAGGAAACGGACATTCTTGCCAGTCTTCGGCTTTTATCTGGGTTTGCTGGTGGATCGGGGACGATTCGCGGCTCTTGATAGGACGGCGAGAAAATTGGAGACGACTTTATTTCGGTTTAAGGAAGAGGCGAGTCGTGGGTTTCTGGGTATTGTGGAGAAGCTTAAAAGCACGGATGAGTTGCATCATCGTAAGGTCAAATCGCAGAGAATACAGTATAAAAGACACGGCCGCAGGTCATCAACTCACGTAAGCCTTTATCAAACCATGGGCTCGTGGCTAACTATCTCAAGTCTCTTATAAATACACTTCCTCTCTTTTGGTATAGGTGGACAACCGATCGTCTTGCTGCAAACACTGGGAAATTTTCCTCCTGTCGCTTGTCCAAACACATGGGGGTGAAGGACAAGAGGGAAATCCACAAAAGGAAGAGGGAAAGGGGACAAGGGGGAAGAGACGAAAAGACGAAATGTCCCCTTAAATCAAGAACGCATACAGATATATCCGACATCAAATTGACAACATCAAATGCCATATAGAGGCACAAGAGAAAAAGCCAAAGAAAAGGTACCAGTGCAGATTGGCAAGAAGAGGCAGCTCACGACGTCGCATCCTATGCTTCATCGTAGCGAAGGTCATTCTCCATCGTTACATCCGATTCGCGTCGTCTCAAGGCCGTTTCGGCTTGGAAGCCGCTGCTCTCAACGATGCTGGCCGTGTCCGACAGCTTTCCCGACTCGAGGTCCTCGATGCTCTGCAGCGCCTGTATGAACTTGGCCTGCTCCAGTTTTAGCATCGAGCGCTTGCCCGCCGTCGCCGCGTCCTCGTCCATTAGCTTCTCATAGACTCTCATAGCATCCGGCCCGCGCACGCCCAGCTTGTCGTCCAGGTAGTTGCGCAGCTCTCTTCGAATCGCGGGGATCATGCGGCAGACGATGCGCTGCGTCACAGCATCCGAGTATCGTAAGGCGGCGAGCTTATAGTACCCTCTAACGTACGCGACAACCTCGACCTCCCGCTCGAATTCGTCCGGATTGAGCCGCGCTTGCTCCGACTCCCGTCGCTTGACCTCCTGCATCTGCATCTCTTCCGTCAACGCCTCCCACGGCGCGAGAGGCTTCTGCTTGAAGCCAGCTGCCACCATTCTCATATAGTGGCGGAATCGAGCCAGCACCGCTCGCTCGCTCTTGAGGCACTGGTCAAACGCTTCTGTGTTGTACGTCATGACTCTCTCCGCCTCGTCGCTGTAGAGCTCTTCGAGTGCCTTTTGCGTCGTACTCCAGTGCTTATCCAGACAGCTCTTGAGGTGTCGTTTGGCCTCGGGATAAATGAATCGCTTCTTCAAGTTTTCGAACGACTCATTCAAGGCCGAATCGAGCTCCGCTGACAGCTGGCGAATCACCTCTCGGAGGTACACGCTGGTAGGCCCTTTCCACGGCCTGATGGCCTCCATGGCCAAGTCGTTGTAGACGTCGGGAGGAATGATACTCGGCATGCCCGCTTTCATCTTAGCCCTGATCTCTTCTCTGACCTGGCGAAGAGTCCGAAATCCTCGGCCGACCTCCCAGAATTCGCCAAAAGGCTCAGCGAGCCCTTGCCTATGTGCGGGAGGCAGAGGCTGCTGGGGGCCGAAGCTGTTGCCGTTCATGCTGGCGCCGTCCTCTGGCTTAACCGTATTTGATGGCCCGGCGAATGAATACTCCGTCCTGGACCGCTTGGACGGCGTGGCCTGTGCTGCTGGCTGTCGTCGTTTCGAGGGAGTCTGAGCGCTCGTTGTTGCGACGGACGCTGCATCGGACTCGTCATCGCTCAGTGCAATAACCGGAATATCGCTTCGATCTTTGAGAACAAACTTGGGCTTGATCTCCAAGAGACAGTCTCGAAAATTGGCGGGTAAGCTGTTGATACGAGCCGCAAATTCGTCAATCTTGATCCGGGCACTATCCGCAAAGCTGTTGAGGCACGTCTGTATCTCCAGCTCCACGTTATGCGGGAGCTCGGGAAGGTTGGCAAGCTGCCTGTTGACCTTGTCGAGATTCAACTTGACCTTGTGTTTGATATTGGGCAGGCTATATTGCACCAGCGTTAGTAGTGGCCCTGTTTTTTGGTTCAGGGGCGATAGAGACTTACCTTTTTGCAAATTCCTCGCCCAGTCGCTCCGAAAGAAAGGCCTTGAGTCTCTCCACACCACAGCGGTGGACAAATTCATGGAAGGCTTCCGGCCATTTATCGACCGACTCGTCCTCAAACATTCTCTCCTCCCACTTCTTTAATTCTTCCAGGTCTTTGCCCTGGGGACGAGATGTGATAAAGTATCCAAGCCCCGTCGAGTGGGCTTGTCCCTTCATGATCTCAAGCCACTGAGCGTGGTTTCCACCATCTGGCAGGAGATCAGCCTTGGTCAATACACCTATGGTCCGATCCTTGGCTTTCAGCTTTCGAGTGAGGCCAAATGTCGCCGAGTTCTCTGCGTCGCTGTTCATGGGCATGGCGCAAATGATAATGGCAGAGGGGTGCTGGATGTAGGCGCTCGAGAGGTTTCGAACCACGTTGACCAGGTACTCATCGTTGGCATCGGCGGGATTCTGGAAAATGCCAGGCATATCGTAGAACGATAGATCGGGCAGGTCAGGTCCCTTGATTTCCAGAGCCACAATGTTGGGTGAGAATTTTGCCTGCGGCTCATCTGCTGCCTTGTCGATGGGAACGTTGGAAGCAATGGATCCTCGTCCCGGGACAAAAAGACCGTGATGTTTGTCATCGTTCAAGATGGCAATCTGGGCCCAGCGCAAGACTTCTTCGATTTCGGACTTGTCGTGCATCGTCTTGAACTCCAGGACCAGCGTGCTGGGTCGCTTTTTCCAGGGAAAGAAGGGGTCGTGGGCTGTGACGTCTGATTCGTGTATGGGGCGAGCAGGAGGCTCGTACACATACTCCTTGCGCAGCCAAACGCGGCACGACCATTCGGCGTTGCGGGAGACACGAATGTGTAGAGGACATCGAGTGCAGGCGCCCTCGCTCCGTGGCAGATCCAGGTTGGCCAGGCCTGACATGAGACTCGATTTGCCTGCCGACTGGTCACCAACAAGGACAAGCTCGGGCAGCTGCACATCGTGGGACACACCAAGCTGCTGGAGCTCTCCGAGGGTGTCGTTGCAGGCTTTGAGCTTCTTGCCGATGTCCTGAAAGGACGTGTGGAAGAAGCTCTCGTCCATGTTCTTGGGGCTTCCCGCAGCTGGCACACTCGTAGCGGCTGGGTTATTCTTCGCCCTGATTTCTCTAAAGACGGGATCTGACTCTACGGTGCGCTCGCTAGGCGCAGCTATTCGTTGCAGCAGTCAGCATATCGCGATCCGATCAATGACGACTCTCAACATCGGCGTCTCTGCATGTCATGCTTGTCAGGTGAGTGGGACTTACGAGCGTTGGATCGATCTCCGCGACCATACCGCGCTGAACCCAGGGCCTCCTCGCCAATCGTCCCATAATCGCTGGCGTTGTCCGGGGGCGGGATTGGTTCTGGGTCAGGCTTCACGACTGCGCCGTTGAGCCTTGTGCGGCGGGTAGCCAGATGCGGCATGGCGGATGAAGCCTCAAAGGACGTCTAATCCTCGAGGGTTCGTCGATTCTTGGGCATGAACGAGTTGCGAGTGCCCTGTGAAAGAAGGGAATGCTCTGGTGGCAGTGGTGCAGAGCGCTGTCGAGTGAATGGCGTTGCGGAACGATGAGAAGAGAGATGCAGGTTAAACCAGATGATGAAGTCGTATCGTAGAGAGGGAGAGTGACAGGGAGAGTGTGAGAGAGGAAAGAGAAGGAAAAGAAGAGAGTGAACGGGGCAAAGGGTATGGAGCAGAAGATTAGAAGAGATGTGTAGAGAAAAGAAAAATCTGCGCTGATGAAAGTGCAAATGTGAAGTGAAGGTGAATTGGCCAAGGCGACGCGTGGGTGAATTTGCCTTTTGCCTACAAGGCGAGTTGAGTGCAGCAAAATGCTGGTATTGGTCACTGATATTCACCCAGCCAACTGGTGGTGGTGTTTTGGTGCCCCATCAAATACAATTGGCAGGGACCAATCCAATATCAGCGACTCCAAGGTTAACGTCTGATAAGGGAGTTGATGCCTGACTCAACAGTGAGCCAGCAGTTCGCTATTCAATCATGAAGCAGCAACACCAGACTCGCATACCAATTCTCAGGAGAATACGGCTGAGAAACGCCGTGCCTCGCGACTATTCTAGCAGAGCTGTGAGCTCCGAGGCATCGTCGTGTTAACAGAAGTGCATGCCGTCTGCTAAGGTCCCAAGTATCGTCAGAGCTTCTCAATGGAGCTTTTTAGCTTGGATAAGTTCCGAGTGCGCTAACACGAAAAAGGGGTGGCTGGGCTCGAGCTCGGGTCAAGGTCAGGCACAAGAGACTTGGCTTCAGGTCCCGGGCCACGTGACAGCCTTGACTTGCATCGCCTTGGTACCCTGGACTTGGTCTAAGGTACTAAGGTACCTAACAGTCGAGCTTGGAGATTAATGAGCCTCGAATCTTGCTTTGGAGTCATCTCGCACATGAATGGAGAAATACAAGATATAGTCCACTTTTGATCCTTCTTTCCACAGTCCGTCGTTCAGGTATTACTGAAAAGCGGCCTGTGTTGCTGGAAGTGGTGGACCCTGCAGCAGCATCAGTGGTGGCTGCCACACGGAGCAGTTTAAGAGGTACAAGTACTTGTACGTGGACCCTGATTTATCACCAAGACAAGACAAGACATCCCGCGGTCGATGAAAAGATCGACTGCCTGCCTTGATGCTTGGTGGTTTTGCAACTGATGCGCCAATCCTTCGAGCTCAATGGCACGGCTGCAGTTTTCATTTTAGCAAGAATTGCCTATAGATCCCTTCAATCAGAATACCATTGACTCGCAACTGTCGTGTTCAGAGGCCGCAGTGAGCAAGGCTGCACAAGTACTCGGGTACCTGCACCATCGCTTAGGGGGAGAAAAAAGGGTAAATAAAAAATAAAAGGAAAAGAAATAGGAAAAAAAAAAACTGTTCACAAGGCAAATTTTAGTCTTCAGCCATCTGCTCCTTAGCTCGACCCAACCGTAGACTTTACAAGCCTCATAGCAGTCTCATAGCCAATATTCCCTCTCTGTTCATTTTCTCATCTGGGAAACGAACAGACTCACTCAAGACTGCTTGCTCCTTAGGCTCACTATAACCACCATGGACTTTGCAGGAGACGGGCGAAACGATGCCCTGGCTGATGGCCGACGCATCTACTTAGGCGCGGCAACCTGTTCTCAACCCTCCTGTCTCTCTAGCTGACCAGTCAAGGCAGGCAATCTCCACTACGAGCTCAAGTCGGAGGACATTGAGGAGTTTCTCATCTCCAATGGCTTTGACGACATTGAGAACATCCAGATCTCGGTGGACGCCGTCAGCGGCCGCAATCCCGGCTACTGCTTCGTCGACTTTTCCCAGCGGGCAACGGCTGACCGGGCTCTGAACGAGCTGAGGGCGAGCCTCCGCGGTCGTGAGCTCAAGGTCGGTCCATGCGAGCCTAGGAAGAAGCGCACCGGAGACGGCCGACAGGGCTTCCAGCGGTCCAACGACTGGAGGGGTCAGTCAGGCGATGACGGCCAGCAGTTCCAGGGCGGCGAGGCCAGGGACAACAGGCCCCGAGGCTTCACCCGCTCCGACGAGGTGGTTGATGAGTCTCAGGGAAAGCGACTCTATGTGGGAGGACTGGCCAAGATGGGAGACCCTGAGCAGAACACGCAGGAGATTATCGACATCTTCACTGGATTCAACCCGTACGTCTCACCCGCTCATCATTGCCTCTCAACACCCTTTTTCTCCCTCCCCAATCTTATTCAATGTGTCTCTGCATGAGATGTGTATGCCTGATAATGAAGCGCAGGTCAAACATTGGCAAGCGCATCGCGCCTCATGAGAGCGCCCGCAGCCCTGCCGGAACATACTACTACTGCTTTGTCGACTTTGAGACCAAGGAGGAGGCTGAGGCCGCCATGCAGGCGCTGGACGGCGCCCAGTACGATGGAGGATTGCTCAAGGTGTCGCTGGCAAAGCGCACGGAGAGGCAATTTAACCGCCCCAATGCCACGTCAGATCGTAATGGCGGCCAGGGACGCGGCTGGAGATCAAACAACATGCAAACACGAACTGAGGGCGGAGCTGCGGCGGCAAGGGCCATGGGATCCAACAACTGGCGGAAGCGGGATGGCGAGTAATCGACTGGACAGCTGAGGCGACGGAGGACAGGCAGCAAAGGCTGATGCAGGCACAGAAAAAGGGGAGATGGAAAGAGGCTCTGGGTGGGAGCCAGGGTAATGCTGATACATGACGTGTGAATTTCTTTCTTGCTTCTGTATTTCATCATCTACTACGGAGTACAACAACAACAAGACGGCGTTGACAAGAGAGGAACATATCAACTCATCCCAGACATCGTCTCCCGTGTCTGGATCCGAATCCTGAGAACACCTGTGTCTTTTGAGTCCAATTCATCTTAGCTCCAGGAACAGCCACCACGTGCGGCATTCCAAGGTTCTCTTGCCGCGGGGCAATTTTGGCGCCCCATCGTTGGACCCTGTTCCGCACTCGCATAATTGCATAGCGCGGGGCCGCCACCTCCAACCTCACCCCTGTCATAGCAGCAAATCGTGACCTCGAGAAAGCCAGTCGTGCAGCAGCCGCTCCACCGCCTTGCTCCCGCCAATTTGCTGGCGAGATTCTCTCTGAATCGATACTCTAGTCTACTTGATATTGTTGGCGCTGATTCTCTGTCGCCCTGCTTATTGTTTCTGCCTCTTGCGTGGAAGCTCACGACTATCGCCGATCCGATATCAGTCACCTCAACCCCTCCCCCTCTCCTCACTCTCTTCTCCTTCTCCTTCTCCTCCGCAGCTCTCAACAATGTCTCTCCACGTCCCTCTGCCGCATCGCTCTGCCACCCCAGTTGGCGGTGCCACCAAGGCTGTCATTCTGGTAAATACTAAACTTGCCCTTTTCCTCTGTTCTGGAACGGATCCCCTCTGTCTGCTCTCAACCACGGAGGAAGCTTCATCATGTCCGCCTCAATGGCTGCAGACAGCTGGCTTCAACGAAACCCACCTGTACAACTCTACCATACGGGATATAGACACATATGGCTAACATTGCTTCCCCTTCTCCTCTTTGTCTAGGTTGGCGGTCCCTCACGCGGTACCCGATTCCGTCCGCTGTCTCTCGACCTCCCCAAGCCGCTCTTTGACGTCGCCGGCCACCCCATCATCTGGCACTGTCTGGCCGCCGTTGCGCGCGTCAAGCAGATCCAGGAGGTCTACATCATCGGCTACTACGACGAGTCCGTCTTCCGCGACTTCATCAAGGACTCGGCCAGGGAGTTTCCCGGCATCAACCTGCGGTACCTACGCGAGTACGAGGCCCTGGGCACCGCCGGCGGCCTGTACCACTTCCGCGATGCCATCCTCAAGGGCCGCCCCGAGCGCCTCTTCGTGCTCAACGCCGACGTCTGCTGCTCGTTCCCGCTCGAGGAGATGCTCAAGCTCTTCATGGAGAAGGACGCCGAGGCCGTCATCCTGGGTACACGCGTCAGCGACGACGCCGCCTCCAACTTTGGCTGCATCGTCTCCGATGCGCACACGCGCCGCGTGCTTCACTACGTCGAGAAGCCCGAGTCGCACATCAGCAACCTGATCAACTGCGGCGTCTATCTCTTCTCCACAGACGCCATCTTCCCGTCTATCCGCTCCGCCATTAAGCGCCGCACCGACCGCCCCGCCCGCCTCGTCTCGTACCCGTCCTCGGACAACCTGGACAACTTCACGATGCCGCGCGCCGTGGCCGACGACGACGACGACGAGGATAAGAAGGAGGTGATCCGCCTCGAGCAGGACATCCTGGGCGACATGGCCGACAGCAAGCAGTTCTTCGTCTATGAGACCAAGGACTTTTGGCGCCAGATCAAGACGGCCGGCTCCGCTGTGCCCGCCAACGCCCTGTACCTGCAAAAGGCGTGGCAGAGCGGCAGCGAGGAGCTCGCCCCCGCCAGCGCCAACATCGTGCCCCCTGTCTTCATCCACCCGACCGCTGATGTCCACCCTACGGCCAAGCTTGGCCCCAACGTCAGCATCGGGCCCCGCGTCGTCGTCGGAGCCGGAGCCCGTATCAAGGAGAGCATCGTGCTCGAGGACTCGGAGATCAAGCACGACGCCTGCGTGCTCTACTCCATCATTGGCTGGGGCAGCCGCGTCGGTGCCTGGGCTCGCGTCGAGGGCTCGCCCACGCCTGCGGGCAGCCACTCGACCAGCATCATCAAGAACGGGGTCAAGGTGCAGAGCATCTCCATCCTCGGCAAGGACTGCGGCGTTGGTGACGAGGTTCGCGTGCAGAACTGCGTTTGCTTGCCGTATAAGGAGTTGAAGAGGGTATGTTGTCTCTCCCCCACTAACTATCCCGCCCGCCCCCTCCGTTGTTTATCACATGCTAATTGTTTATCTTTAGGACGTCGCCAACGAGGTCATCATGTAAAGTGTGCATTCAAGCATCAATCTCGACAATTAGCGTGTGATAGAGCAAACATCATAGTGTCATGCAATAATCCTTTCTCTTGTGGGGCAAAAGGGGGAGAGATGGAGAGATGGAAGGATTGCTTTTCAAACACCATTCAAAGCCAACAAAGTAGAAAAACAAATGATTGATTCCCCAGACTATACAAAGTCATGCATTCCGATTCCTACCTGCTGCTCTCCAAATCACACGGGGCAAACGTTGATAGCATATGATTCCATCTCCAACAAACGGGATGCTTTTCTTGCAAAAAAAAAAAAAAGTATTAGCGGAAAGGAACTGTTGACACGGGAGGTAGGCATGTATGTTCCGTGAAAGAATAAAAGTAACATGAGCCCGAAATGCCGTCTTGATTCTCAGATGGCTCGTAAATGCGTGACCAAGGACTAATCCATTCTCACCTTCAAGCACCTCCTCACCACCCCTCGAGAGGTTGGGTATATATGCATCTCAAGCCTTCTTTACCTGGCTTCTCCAAGTCCCTTCCCGGTAAGGTACCAGGCGTGACCCTAAATGACCCCTTCTATATGCACCATATCCGTAATCCATTTCATGTTCTATCCATACACCCCAACAAAAGAGAAAGTGTGCATGCTTCCAGCCTGATAAACAAGGCTTCCATGTGTTTCCTGAATAGAGAGAAATCGCAGAAAATTCTACCAACAGCCGATATCACAGCTCCTTTTGCGCCGAAAGGCGACTCGCCGGCCGGGCGAACATGGGACTGGAGGGTCGGCTCGATGTCGATCCCAAGCCCTTGGCATCAAATGGGTCGATGGATTTAAAGTGCTTCGAGGGGCCCAGGCGAGGGGTGCCCAAGGGCGTCAGCTGTTCGATGGCGGGCTTCTCAAAGGTTGCGACGCGGATGGCGGGCGGGCGATGTCGAACCGATGTCTCTTCGAATACACTGTACATGTATGTCGAGAGCAGCACCAACATTGTGCCCAAGAGGAACTGTTCGCTGTCGTTAGCACAATTCGGATTCTTTCGAGCGAGGGAAAACTCAAGGGCGATGTACCGTGAGAGTTACTTCAAACTCAAAAACCCACACGCTGATGAGAAAGCTGAGTATGATACTGATACTCGTCGCAAAGTTCTTGACAATGTTGTCGGCGTCTCTGATAACCAAGGAGGCCAGTAAGCCACCAGTCGCCTGCAAGACGATTGTCGCCCAAACAACCGCATTGTAGCCTTCAAAGAAGCCGTGCTCGCGGATTCCAGCTCCGTCCTGCCACATGACGCCACCGAATAGGGCGGCGATCATCGAGTAGAAGCTCAGCTGCAAATTTCGCACCCAGACGCTGGCCTGAGTCGGGCTCTCCTTTAGGAGTTTCTCAAAGTACACGCCCGTAAGCCCAGAGACAGCCGCAGCGACGAGAACTGCAGTCACGCCCAGGGAGTAGTTCATGGGTGGCTCGACAAAGTGAAGGTCGTTGTCAATGCCCTCGTAGGTCGCGGAGCGGCGTGTCAGATGCGCGGGGGCTTCTTCGAGGACTGGATGGCCGAGCTCATGGCGAGATCGAGGGAAGAAGTGGTCAGGCATGCCGTGGAACAGAAGGGAGTCGGAGCCGGAGACTCTGCTGGCGACATTTGTTGTCGAACCTGGTAGGGAGACGATTGAGACACCCAGGGTGAGGACGATGAGCGAGAGCCAGCGCTTGAAGCCAAGGGGGCGACTCAGGAGGTAGACGCTGAACAGCGCCGTCGTGAGAATCTGGGCGCCATTATATTCAGTATCAGCATACATGTGGCAAGGCAAAAGAACAAGCCTCTGGACGGTCAGGATACTTTCCACCCAACTCACCTTGAGCTGGTACAGAACCTGAAAATGCACAGCATCCAAATTCTCAATAGCCACATACTGCAGGATATTCTGCAGTGTGTAAAAGACGCCCGGCACAACCAGCTTCCACCCGTCGCCCGCAAACATGGCGTTGTAGATCTGCTCGAACAGCACCGTGGCGGGCGTGCTGGGGGCCAGCGTCTTGGACGCCTCGTACAGGGCCAGCGTCAGGGAGACGGCCAGCTTGATGAGCTCGTGGAAAAAGACAGCGGTTGAAGGGAAGTAGCGGTGGTCGCCGGACGGGGGCATGACGCGGGAGTAGTGCATGACGAGGATGAAGGCCGAGTTTTGGACTGTGAGCTACATTTGCGACGTTTGTTAGCATCATCGAAAGCAAGGCAACAAGAGAAGTGTAAGAAGAGGCGAATTCATTCCGTACCAGCATCAGCGAGAGTGGTTTGCCAGCGCCAATCGCTGAGCCTCGGCCGTCGAGCACCGCCATGGCGGGCAAAGTGACAATTGCGTCGACAAGAGTGGCTGAGAGGTCAACAAGGGCCGAGAGAAAGCAGCTGTCAATCCGTAGGGAGGACGTCGGGTGGTTTGAGGAGGAAGAGGAGGTTGAAGGAAATCAAGAGAAAAACGAAGATCGATTGCTGCAGCTGATATCGATAGTAAAGTATTAGAGGGTTACAGCACGCGACACGCCCCTCTTCAGGTTGCCCGATCTCGATCTGGTAGCTCAGCTCAGCTTCCAGGCTTACAGCAGTTTAAACAGTGGACCAATGCCACCGTCTCTGCCGGCACAGGTATGCAGTTGATGCCTCAATGCGGGAACGTGATGATTGATGGAAGAAGAAAGACAAGATGGCAAGCAAGGCAAGTTTTGGAGCAACTCAGATGTGCCAATTGAAACCGACGACTCTCACTGATTCAGCCCATCCAAGCTCCATTGGGGCCCCTTGTTCCCAGGTACTCGTACAACTAAGGTACTACTACCAGGACCGTTAAGCTGCAGCTCAAACCCCCCGCAGATGCGCATCGAGGGGTTGGTGGGTGGCCACTCGGCCCCATTTGGGCACTGGGTTTTAGCGGGTTTGGTGGGCATGGGGCGCTGCCTCATGGGCCACTTTGGGGTCCAGGTTGCCAGGTCAAGGCATGGGGGCGCCAGGGCTTGATGTGCCCCTCTATTTGCTGGTACGCAAACAGGAGGTTGACATCATTGGATCGCTGGGATCCTTGGGATCGTCTTTTCTGGCTGATGAGGCGCTGGTAAACGGGTCAAGCAAATTCCAGGGAGGTTCGTACATACATAAAGTACGGTACTGCAGTCTTGAGTCAACCCTCAGGGGCAAGTCCTTTGGTGTTGCACCCAAGCGGATCCATGGATGTAACACATCTGACGCAGGCCTCGTTAAACCCATCGCCGGCTTTGTCAACGTATCAGACACAGACGAAGCTGGCCTAATCTGTTGACTTCATGCTCATCAAACTGACACGCCAGGGAAAGACACAGCAAATAACGAGGAAGAAAGGGTCGAAGTGAAAAAACACGCAGATCGCAAATGAATTTCTGGATATATAATCTGCATTTATGGTATGCTTGACCTTGCCACTAGTCTCGTCACCCAGATGCAGACCACCGCCCAGTTTCATGCGAAAGGGGGGGAAAAGGTGAGATAGATTCGACGTCGGCTTCCAAATCCCCGTCGTGAGCCCTGTGACCAAGTTCCCGTACGCCATATCCTCGTAGGAACCCCAAAATGTATCATCGCAGCTGCCATATTCGTCCAAAAGAAAGAGACTGACATCATGAAGAAAAGAAAAGAATCCCGAGGTTATGTCAAAGCCCTTTGACTCATCGAAAAGTTCCTCTCGTCAATCACAGTGTGCCCAGACTGCAAGCCGGGGATAGCATCCTGTCTGCTGAGGTCTTGAGCCATTAAGTTCCAAAGCGCAAAGCGCTCGGCCATGCTCTCGCCAGGGTTCCTCTCTTGCTCCCGGATGCTATCCCGACGCTGCGGTCCAACCACCCGGTTCCTTGCTTTGAGATTGAAGCCTGCGTTGAAGTCGAACGTCTTCAGCTTCGGTTTCTGCGTGTGAGCGGGGGGGCTCGGCCGGTGCAGGTGTCGAAATTCTCGTTTGCGATAATTCCACACGCTCTTCTGGGGAAGAAACATGCTGGCGCTGATGGTTGGCACGGCCATGTCGCGCAGCGGTTGACTTGAAAAGTCGCCAGCGGCATCCAGGTGGTTGACGAGATCCTGGTGGCCCTGGCTTCGGAAGAAGGATAGAGCTCCAATGTCGAACGTCGGCGGCATATCATCCTCTTCTGTCCTGTACATGTTGCCCAACTAAGACGCAAATGCTTCGGCAGGGGATCCAAGTTCATCGACATAACCACCGTAGCCCATGCCCTGTTGCCTGTCAGTATTGCAGCAGCCAAGGCGACGAAGACTGTCGGGGATCATGAAGCCGATCACGTCAGACCACCCGCCGTCCTTGCTGTCGGGGCCTCGAGACCAGTTGCCCTGGCTCGTCGCTCCAAGCGGCGCATCGTTGCTGTCCAGTAGCCACGACAAGTCCGCATCTGCGTGCAACAAATCGGGATGCTTGTCGATAAAGGACCTCACCGGCTGTGAATGAGTCCGTATCTCGTCCTTGTCAAGCAAGGCCTCGTTAAAGCCGTAGGCGATCTCGTGGTCTCGCATAAAGCGGAAGACGTCGAATGTGATGTCGTGAGTGAATTGCGCCTGCAGCCACCCGTGCATGAGCATGAAGTAGACTAGTCATAAGCGCGGAAGGGGGGAGGAGCATATATCAGGAACTGTGCGCACTTACTCCAGGCTCAATTCTCCAGACCCAGTCATAGTCTCTTAGCCGTTTCTCACGGGCAAACGGCCCCGAGTTCCAGCGAGAGATTTGGCCAAGAAAGGGTGTCGAGTGGCCGTCGACGGAGACGGCTTCACCGCCGATCTGGCGTTCCAGAGGCAGCGCGTTGAAGGCAAAAGACTGCCTCGGCGAGACCAGGTTGTCTTCAGAGATGACTTCGTAAAGGCAAACGGCACCGGTCGCGTTCGACGTCTGCTGTCTGAACTCTTCGCTGAGGGGCTGAGTGCTGAAGAAGACCCAGTGATAGCGGTATCGATGGTTGAATGTCTCTTCAAGCTGCGAGATGGACGACAAGACGGCAGGCAGATCGTTCTCGTGGGCAAGGGAGACGAAGGCTGCTCTGGGTCGTTGATCAGTAGCCGAAGAGATGGCGAGGCCATGCACGAACGATGACAAGTGGATCAACAGAAAAATCCACGTCAAGGCAAACATCCTCCAACGCGGCGGAGAGACGGTCGCACTACGTTTCTTAGCCATGCTGGGACTTGCTGACGAAGACGACGGGGGAGAGACGAAGGTTTGGCAGTCGAGATGGAAGCTGGCAACTGGCGACCTGCCCTTGTCACAGGGTTTCTTGTGGTGAAAGAGAGTACAGAAGTGGATAGGAGGGGATTCAAGAATCGTAGAAATGCAAGGAATCAATCGGATCCAGGAAGGGAGAAAAAAAGAAAACCCAGGTGACAGGAATACAAGAAGTCAACTGATGAATCGAAAAGGAGCGTGTGAAGTGAAAGTGAGCGACGGGCTGGCCTGGTGGCAGATCCAAGTAGCAGGAAGTCGAGGTTGAAACAATGATTGAAGGAAGGGTGAAGAAAGATGAAAAGAGGAGTGGAAGGGAGAAGAAGAAGAAGAGAACGGTGGAGAAGTGGCAGAATAAAAGCCGGTGAAGAGTTTGCTAGGTAATTGGAAGGCAACAGCAGGAGACTGGCGGGTGGGCACTTGGCAGCTGGCAGAAAGCATCACTGGCGAGAGTCTTTGTGCAGCCGTTGGAGTGAGCAGAATCTGAGCCTCAGCCCGCCGCTATCGGACATCTGAGACGGATGTTTACAGAATACTGAAAGTCCAGATATCGGCGAGCGTTTGATGGCCGTCATAAATCCGGCACGGCTATGGCAAGAGATGTCGAGCTCGATTGTAGCCCGAGTCGAGTATAAGGTAAGGTACGGCAGCAGGTAGGGAACTGGGCGCAATTATCTTCACCGTACTCTTCACCCTAGGGATCACCACATAAGCTGCTTCAAATACCATCATCTCGATGGATCCTGAGGATTAATTCTCCTGGTAGCTAAGCTGCAGCCCAAGCAAACAAAAAGGAGGCGACAGTGCCGACATCTAAGGGCACGTCAGAGAGCATGATCATGGTGCTTGTTCCAAGACAAACAGAAAAAGCCCCGACTGGTAAAGGAGAAGGGAAAAGAAAAAACAAGCAAGAGAATTGACCCCATTCCCCCAAGCGCCAGACGCAGTCACGATTCCGGTATTCAACAGAAATGCCCATCCTGCCCTCAATCCTTTCTACCCTCCTCTAGATACGTGCCGCAAAATCAGTCCAAAAACACACGACGACTAGTTAATATACACGTATTGGCGTTTGCGTTTCCCGCCCTCTTCCTGTTGGTGGACATGTGTGGCCTACGCCTCAACGTCCATCGAGTCTGCATCTGCCGACCCGTCATCCAAGTTCAACTCTATCAGCCTTGCATATTGGGCTGTGAGACGCTGCAGCTCGCGGAATTTACCTGTTCGTCCCGCTCAGATTAGCTCGTATTCAAGAGAGAGAAGAAAAGGGAAAGGTGAAGAAGGCCATACCAAGAATAAGAACTACTCCCTTCAGCAGTTCTTTTCGATCCCATCCACACAATTGCTCATCCTGACTGTACCAACCGCGGCTACCCGTCTTCTCAGACTCCTTCTCCTCAAGCACACCGCCCAGCAAGCTGTTGAGAAGCTCCTCTACCTTGCCCCTGGCGCCCTCGGCTCCCAATCGCTTGGCGTACATGAACAAGTATAACCTGAACTCGTCGCTTGCCCCCAGCTGCAGAGCACCGGCGATCCGATTCTCCAAGTGGGCAATGCTGACACTGCTCTCCAGACCCTCCGCCTCCGATCTCTGCATGACCGTCTTAATGATGCGCTGCAGAGCATAGGCCCTTCCCTTGAGAAGAAACTCGTTGGTGGTGTGTCGCTCGAGGAAAGGAATGATGCCAGAGGATACGGTGACGGCGCCCTTTTCCTTGTCTTCTTTTGAGTTGGGACCAACCGCGGTGGACTGCAAAGCCGAGATGGACGAGTCATTCGAGTTCCAGTACTGCGAGCCTACCGCCCACCAGGCCTCGCTCAGCCGCTGCCACGTGTACATGTCTCGAGCATAAAAGTAGCCATCGCCGTTTGTCAAGGTGACGACGATGTGACCGGTCGAGTTGAGGTGGGCAGACGTGATGCCGGGGCCAGGCGTGGCCGAGTGCTGGTTCAGCGAAGCCGTTGCAATATCCAGTATGGGCCCAACGGACACCGGAGGGTGTGGCGACGACTGCGTTTTGAGGTTCCAGACGTGGACGAGTCCCACGGCTGTGATGACCATCAGCCAGTAATCCCTGCATTCAAGAATGACGGGCTGGGACTCCAAGATGATGGGGTTGAGAAGACGTCTGCCGGCGGGAGTCCAGACGTGCAGCGATCCATCTTCGCAGGCCACGGCCCAGAAGTGCTTGCTTGCCGTCACCAGGATGACAGCTCGGGGCAAAAACTCCTGCCATATCAAAACTCCTCGTTTGGTTACAAGCACATGGGCTGGATTGCGCGGGTCGGTATCGTTCTTGGCTTCGAGGATGATATTCTCCGGGAGCTTCGATGCGTCTTCAAGCGTGGACGTCTCCGGTTGCAGCACGCCTCGCTCCAGGGGCCGCAGGATGTGTGATCGTATCTTGGGAACAGCAAGGCGCACCTGGGCATAGGAGATGGAAGGATTCAGCACGGCCGGGCGTAGGAACTCGGGAGTTGGGATAACGCCGTGCTCGACGGGCACCAGGGCCGCAGGCTCCACGCCATCGACCCCGTTGGTCACCACAGCTGTTGGGCCGCCAGCCGCCCGCTTAGCCGCAGGCTCTTCGTCGTCGTCGAGATCGGTAGTGGCAGCGCGGCGCTTGTTACCCAGCAGCATAGCAACGATGCCACCCTTTGGCAAGCCGTCGAAAGGCTTACTCAGGTCCAATATGGTCTGCGGAGCGTCGTTTTGCGTGTTCTTGGTCGTCGTCGACCCCACAAGTTGGCTCTGCGGCAGAGAAGACTGCCCAGTCCCGGATGAGGAGACCAGTAACGGTGCCACTCGTTTCCTCCCATCCTTGCCGATAGTAACTCGCGACTTTAGCTCACGGACCCGTTCGGCCGTCTTGTCCGCAGTCTCCTCCGCCTTTTCTTCCTTGGTGTCTACTTTTTCCCTTTCTTTATCCTTGTCTGACTCTGCGCTCCCGTTGGCAGCTGCTTTCTCGGTGGCCGATGCGGAGGATTCCGCTTTGCTGGCTTGGGTGGCCGGCGTGGACTCCTTTGCCGATTCGTTTTGGAAGTCGCCCATGAGGGCCCCCATTCTGGACTGCACAGCCCTTGATTCGCCGGCCTTGCTGTGCTCCTCTAGGAGCAATCCATCCACATCCTCGGCGATGCCCATGCCCTTGCGAGAGCCACCGTACTTTTGAAGCGCCTTGACGTTCTCCTCCTGCTGGGCAACCCACCCCAGCTCGCCTTCGTCGAACTTGGCCACAACGACGGTGCCATCCAGGCTGGACGCAAACAGGGTCTGGCCGTCCGGTGTCCAGGCCAAGTCGGAAATCGACTTGCCCGCTATATCCTGCAAGATGACGACCGGGCGCGAGGTGTTGGTATTCCAGATGCTCAACGTCTTGTCCTGGCCTGCAGACGCAATAACCGTGACGAGCTGCCCTCCGTGGCCATTTGCCGCCCCGTTCTGCCCCGGCTTGACGGTGTGGAAGAGGCGAGGTGAGAACATGCACACCTCCGTCGGCGCCTCGTGCCCAATCAGATTGATCTCGCTGTCCCACCTCGTCCGTTCGATGATGGCGACTGAGCTGACGGGGCCGTTGACGGCATTGGCAGCGGCGATGTGGTTGCCGTCCGGCGACCAGGAGCAGCGTCGGAAGTACGTGGTCAGGGGCGAGCTCTTGAAGGGGGAGCTGATGGTGGCGTCGAGGACAAAATTGTTAATCATGTCGTGCTGCGTCGCGTTCGGGGCGGGCGGGGTGAATCGGAAGATCTTGATGGTGCGGTCGTCGCTGGCGGTGGCAAAGAACTTGTTGGCCGGGTCAAAGGTGATGCCCTTGACGTGGCTCTGGTGCGCGGGAATCGACTTGAGCTTCTCGAACGTGTGGCCCGACCAGACAACGACCTTTGAGTCGAGCCCGACCGACACCAGCAGCGACGAGTCGTAGGACCAGGCCAGGTCCTGGACGTCGTTGTCGTGGCCGATGAGGCGCTTGTACGTCTTCCAGTTCTCGACAGGCGGCGGCTCGTTGGTGCCAAAGGTCGGGGCCGGCGGCCCCTTGTCGAGGTGGTAGACGCAGATGAGCTTGTCGTCGGCGCCGCTGGCCAGATAGCGGCCATTGGGCGAGAAGCGCACCGAATGGATGGTGCCCAGGTGATGGCTCATGTGGCACAGCTGGCGCGGCTTCTTGTAGTCGGCGTCGTCGGCGTGGTAGACGGCCTCGGTCGACCAGATGCGCACATGGCCGTCGCCGCCCGCAGTCGCGATCCGCTTGCCATCGGGCGAGACGTGGCAGCTATAGACCTCGAAATCCTTCTGCTCGCCGCTGTGGCTCAGCCACGAGGGCTTGATGATGCGCATGGTGGGCGAGGCGCGGGCATTCAGCGGGACGGAGATGGACGAGTGCTGGGACGAAGTGGTGATGGTGTTGTGGCTGCAAATGTGTTTTTCTGCTGAATGTTGGCGATTGGACTGTTGGCACAGCTCTGTCGGCCGCAGGCCAGGTACAGACTGCGTACCCTTGTGGGGGAGCACGCAGGGCAGAGGTACAACTGCCGTACAAGCCCAAACGCAGCTGACAGTTGAGGCGGGCTCGACCTTTGGGGGGACGCGCTGGCGCGTTTCCGTGCTGCTAGGCTCGACTTTTCCGGCCAGCCCCGTGTCGCATCCCAAAAATCCCACCAAGGCAGCTAAAAGCAGAGGCTCAGATGGGAGCAGAACAGCGCAGTGGACGTTCTTTACGGGACGGACGGAATAAGTTTGATGCGGCTCTTGCACACAACTCGGTCGGGCCTGGCGGGCAACTCGCGATGCATTGCAGGGCTCAGATGGGACGGATGGCCCATTGAAGCATCGAGGCTATGACATCATGCAGCGGGTTCAATGGAGGCATGTGATGATGCACGTCAAGTTGAAGCAGCATCAATTATGGATACACGCGGTTCATTCGGGCAGAGGCGTAGAAAATCATGCGATTCGTATTGAGCTTTTGGTTCTCGTCATCTCGTGATACGTCGTGTAAAAATGCACATCTGCGACAACACTCCCCTACCTTAGGTATAGATAGAGCCATTTTTCTCTATGGTCCAAATGCAAAACTCCGAGCGCCGCTGCGATTCTTTTCCAACCAGCCAATTGTGATTTCCGGCGATAACATTGGTTGGGAAATGGGAAAATAGGAAAGGAAAAGAAAGAGTAATGCCTCAGACTCGCACAGTCGAGGGGCTCAGCACTGCATTGGGCTCATTCATGGCGTTTGCCGCGTGGCTTGAGTCCGGCTTAAGCGGCTCTGCCTCGCCCGTCTCAGCATCCAGCTTCAGATCCTCATTAAACCGCAGGATATTCTCTGCCACGCCTCTGTCAATGTACGTGACCATGAGAGCCGTCATTTCATTGTCCAGCTCTTCGATCTCGCGCACGATCGCCCCCAAGCCATGCCACCCAACAATGTTCTTGGCCGCAATGTTCCAGCTGCTGGCGGCCGCGCAGACGCAGTTCATCTCGAATTCCAGCACTTTGCGGTACAGCTGCAGCAGTCGGTCTCTCGTCTGATCGCGCTTCGCGTTGAAGTCCAAGTCGTTCTTCCAGGCGCTGGCGAGCATAATCTCGGAAAGGTGCATGTACCAGGGAATGCGTCCAAGGACGTGCAGGGCGCCGCGCTTCATCTCTTCAATCTCAATTGTCGGGCCAAGAAGAAGCTGCCAACAAGGAAATGCATCAGTCATCGTTCGAGCTTTCCAAAAGTAATATATACATAAGGCGGGTTCACGAGAATAGGACACTCACCGGAGTTAAAATACAGATGCCCGACCAGGCGACTGCCGTGGAAGGATATGTCGCCCACACGCTCTTGATGGTCTTCCCAGCAGTCCGGATTATGGCCTTTGCACAGGTATTGGCTTGGGATTTGGTCCCGCGAGACCTTTTCAGCCCAGACTCGGTGATTGTGATCAGAGCCTTGAACCGCTCCTTGTCAGACCGGGGCAGGGTCTGGTTGAGACCACCTATTGACTGTCCGTGCGACAGTTCTTGGCACAAAATGGACTCGTAGACAGTGACAAGGCCGGCTGATCTCGTGCTATCTCGAAGGGAGTTGTAGGCCTCATTCCACAGGTCCATGGAGATGCTCTTGTCGCGTCCGCTGCCCTTTGGGATAGAGAAGCTGGAGGACGTTGAAGACGGAACTCTGTAAGGACCCAGCCATTCGGGTGTGGCAACGCCGCTGTCGGAATCAGAATCGTCTTGAGAACCATGATGGTGGAAGTCGTGATGGAGAATCCGGCCGACCAGCTTGATCAGGCGGGAGTCGTGAGTCTTCGGCATTGTGGGAGTATGTGGCGTACGGTGGCGGCGAAGATGTTTTGCTGTTCTGCTTTCCTCCAGTCTCATGCATACCAGGACAGGTATTGTCCGTACAATACATGTATCATGTATAGTATTGTATAGCAACGACTTCACGGAAAAGAACCATCATTGCAAGCAGTTTGTGAAGCCGTGACAATGAGGCAAAAGTGGGTGACAGCTGAAATATATAGACTCGACTTTTTACACACCTAGTTGACCAGGGAAAAGCCCTCGGTGTCCCAGCAGATCGGACCGTGTGACGTTTTTTCCGCTCTGATCTTTTTTAATGGCCTCGAGCCCACACAAGCTCCGGTTGGATGTACCAGAACCGGATTCGCTGCTCGGCCATGCGGTAATCGGGATAAGCAGACGCCTGCCACGGGGTTACTAAGAGAAGATGGTTAGTACAGTGTACATGTAGGCATGATGGCATCATGATCCGGTTCCGAGGGCAAAACGTGGCTGGAGCTGGAGCCCGCAATTCGTCCAACAACCCCGGATTTTGGGTGGATGCGGCCCTCAGCTCTTAGATCGCTGCGAGCTCGGCTTTGAAAATTCAATAGTCGGGATGTGAGTCTCCGCGGGTACGTCCGTACTATAACCAAGCTGCTGGTGCTGTGAGAGCCCGAGACGTCTCCCCCGTGTTATTCGCGGTCCCAAGTTCAGCTTGGCTTCAGTCTAAGGGCTGCTAACGAAGAGGAAGGGCTGCTAACGAAGAGGAAGGGCTGGCATGGCGCAAAGGCGGGGCGAGATCATGGACGAATGGCTATGAAGTTGAGGTCAAAGCCGGCCGGTTCCCGGTCCGGGCAAGATGCCGGACGCGATGATGAGACATCAGGTCCTGGATTATGGGCAACCGGAGGTGGGAGGCTCCAACACGCCTCGAGCCTGGCATCAATACTTTTTGCTGGCTCCTTCGCCACTCAGAGCCGCCCAGAACATGAGCTCAGAACATTGAACAGTATCACTCCCCGCTCATTGAGCAGCTATAGGTGAGTAACAACACCGCCATTGCGTAACAGGGGATCTATCACTGAGGGCCCAGGTAGGCGGGTAATTATTCGATTTATATGTATTTGTTCTGACCTCGGAAGAAGAGTCATGTGCAAGCATCTCTTCGACAAGGTAGCAATGGATCGGAGGTGGGTAAAGGTCGAAGCTGGCGGGAATTCCCGAGCCAAGGTATCGTCATGGTAGTACTGTACGGTACATGCAGATGTTGATGGACTGCAGGTACACGTCTGTTTTCGAAGAACTGCGCTATCTGCTCATGCACTGTAACAGTAAGGATTCACGTTGATGGCATCTCCAACTTGAACTTGATGCAGCCTTCTGTTGGTCAAAATGGCAGCCAAAGTCCCTTTTCCCCTCCTTTTATCCAGCCAACCACCGGCCAAATTGATGGTTGTCGAGGCAATCTTGCCTTGATCTGGCAGCACGAGTCAAGTGCGCCTAAACCCATCACGAACCCGTTGGACTCCTCCAGGTTTCGGAACCAGGCGTGCGATCGTCAACAGCACAAGCATGGCGGATACATGCATGCAAACGAGCACAGAATGCCTAAAGTACCTAGCCCTGCAGATGATCAGCGGGAAAATCTACCGGTACAGCAATCTACTTGTACCCAAGCGTGAGGGTTTTGAGGGTATGGATTCCACTGGCCCTTTAATTTCCACTACCGCGTCGCTCAAGCATCGCAACAGCCTATGAACGCGGCGGATATGTATTCAGATTGACACAGCACGACGCGGGAGAACCTTTTCCGCAGGTGAACAAACTCGAATCCGATCCGTAGGCGACATAGACCGAGCGTCCAGCACGCGACTAACGGCTACAGTGCTCCCGCCATGAACATGAAGCTATATTGAGGGGACCTGCACCGCTGCCTCGGCCTCCATCAAATACGAGCCGAATCAGACTGCCTCAAGCTGGACCACTCTCATATTTTAAATCACCCGGTTATCCAATCACCACGGCACTTCTGCACACCCGCAGGCCGATTCCTGGTTCGTGATCGCCATCAAGGTCGTTCGCTCTTGGTGTCAGACAATAACGAAGCCCTGCTCATTTTCCATTGTCCGGCTGTTCGCCAAGTGTCGAATAAACAGCCGACTCAGAATTCTGCCGCAGCAGGCCTTGTTCACCTTCTCACCGCATACCTACAAAAGAAACGAAGCAAACGCCGATCTTGCTACCTTGTTTTCTCTCCTCCTCCCCTCTCCTCTTCTCCTTCCTTTTTCCCCATACAGGCTTGCAGCTTACCTCTTCTTTTCGATTTTTATCTCGATTACCTCGGCCTCTTTCTGCTTTGACAAGCAACAATCGCGATATTCTTCAGTCTTACTTCAAAGACATTCTCCTTCATTCTCGCAAAAGGGGCAGACATAGCTTCCATCATGAAGACTATCTCCATCTTGACCACTCTGGCTGTTGCTGCTCTTGTGAGCGCTGCTCCTGCTCCGCCAACGTTCCAGAACAGCACAGACGTTACATGGACCCCAGCCCCATCGGATCAGACCACCTGCGATCCCTCGAGCTTCTCTCAAGCGCCTATCCCCGACGCTGCCGACTGGCGGTTCTGCGCCGCGCTTTCGAGCGCCTGGGCTAGCGAGAACGGAACATTCAACATTCACGACGCCTCGGGCAGTGCTTTTATCCCCGTCCTCAAGTCGGAAGGCTGCACCTTGGGCGTCAAGGCTTCGGAGCAAGGCCAGGGACCCTACACCATGGGAGATCAGGATGTTAAGGCAATCCTCAACATCGCGCTTGAGTACTACTCGGACGGAACCGACCTCTCGGTTGAGGGCAGCGTCAAGTGCAATGTTGCTGATGGCGGCCGAGCGGGTCTGAACTGGCAAATCTACCGCCAGTAAACGGACTTTGGTAGCTCTGATCGGTTGCTCTCTAGGGAAGGCTTGAGTGACCTAGCCTGCAGCAAAGAATCGACGGTACGACTCTCGTGATGAGGGCATTTTGCTTTGTCGACGCAAGGCTAAGTTGCTTTTTAGGATTCACGCTTGTTGCGGTCACGACGACGGCGACTCTTTACCTTACTTGCAGTGGCGTTATGGAGGTGAACAAAGGCTTTGATGGATAGGGATGAGCTCGCGCGACAAGAGCCGAGCGTTGCTTTTAGCCAGCACATACTGAATATACGCGCCTCCAGATTCTTGTGGCGCATAATCTTACGAATTGTGAATCCCGAAGAGCGTGACATTGTGATGGTATATTGCCAGCGTGGATGCCACATGAGATGGTAGCGCCTCTGCCCGGTTTTTCTACCAGGCGTGAAACTCAACTGGCGTGACGTTGGGTGCAAGAGTAGCCAGGAGACACACGGTACATATGCAGAGAACAGAGAGACCCTGAACAGAATCTGAGACAAGATTTCACATGCACGACATTGCCTCAGCTAGGAGCTTAGGTTTGCTGACTGGATCGAGCTTGTCAGTAGTAGGTAGGTAGGTAGAGGTTATTTAGTTACGTCTCCTGTGTCTTGGCCTGGGATGCGCGTAGAGGCTGATGCATTCATCTGCTGTAATTAGCAAGGCCAACTTTCAATGTAGTAGTACATAATATTCAATCGAACGCTTGGAGTATCGGGCTCGAAAAGCCAATGGCATAAGACAAGGTCATTAAGGGTATGGGCACCCTTTTAGAATGCCGAGTCCGCATCACGGCTCGTGGGGTTTGCGGTTGTCGGTTCACAACTGCACCAAATGATGAAAACTCATATCCGCCTTACTCTCCACGCCACAACCAACGGCAATCTTGGATTGTTTGAATCATAACTACGTAACAGTTCTGAAGAGTTATCCCTACCTTTTTCGAGACCTTGTCGTTAAAAATTACGCTGAATATCCGGAAGGTCAAAGCCGGTGGCTCAATTCAGGGTAGTACAAGTTCTTTGCGCAAGCACTGAGACATCAACCAACCAGACGAAGCGCACCTGGGTACCTAAGTAGTGACTTCAAGTTTCAACCAGCGCGGCATTCAATGACGCCCACAGGGGGTTCAGCCAATGGATGGAAGTGGACAGCAAACAAGGCGCTGAGCTGCAGTGGCCGTGGGCGCTGAAACTCCTAGAAAATGCAGCAACAGCTGGCAGAGGTGGTCTGTGCGCCCTTCTTGCGCTGCAGCCCAACTGGGAATAGTCCCTTTCGAGCCCAGCCTTGTGTTTTGCTGCGGCTTCCTCAAGGCGCGCCGAAGCTCGTTGATTTTCGTCCTCCGTCAAGCTCTGCGTCCAGGCATCGGCTTCCATTCACCTGAGCCTCGCCTTCTCCCCTTCTTGAAATCTCCTTTCTTGGTGGTGAGAATTCTGGACGAGGCTTACATCCCCGTCATCCCTTTTGACCAATTCTCTCCCCTTTCATTCGGTCGTTTCCCCTTCTTCCCTTTTTCCATTTCCTTTCCTTGTCCTTCCTTTCCTTACCACGCCGCGTTCCACAACCGAGAAAACCAGCCGCATTCACCGCATCTATCGACCGAGTAATGACGAGACTCGCGCTGTCATTGTCGACCTAGGATTCCGGGCACAACAATGGCGGCTGCCGATGTCGACGTCGGTTACATCGCGGGCCATCTGGGCCTTGACCAGCCTGTGGTGGCGACTCTGACGACGCAGCCTACGGTCGAGCTGGTCGCTACTCTGCTCAAGGCTGTGGCTGCCAAAGCACACGAGTTCGAGACGTTGTATGCCGAGAAGCTACAGACCGATATCGAACTGGAGAATGCCGTTCGAAATTCCGAGACCAAGTCCCAGACCTTCAAGGCCACCGCCGAAAAGGCCCTCAAGGATGTGGAGGAAGCCCGACAGCGCCTCAAAGAGGAGGGTATGTGGTTTCCCGACTCGTAGCAGTGCCAGAGCCGCGTTTGGCCGTCCGCCTAACATTTGTGCACACCTTAGAAACGAAACGACAGTCGCTGGAGAACGAACTTCAAAGTCTCAAGGCCAAGTACTCCGATTACGATGCCGACGTCAAGGCTCTCAACGACAAGATCGAGACTCTGCAGTCTTCGAACCGAACAAACCTCAGCATCATTGAATCCCATAACAAACGCGACCAGACCTTGACCGAGGAGCTTACCAAGCAGCATCAGCGAAATGTCGAGCTTGCCAGAGAGGTTACGACCCTGCAGCAGTCGGAACAAAACGCCAAGGCGCAACTCAACAGCGCTAAGTTCCGACAGGACGCGCTGCAGCAGCAACTTGATTTGGCCCGTCAAAATGCCGAATGGCTCGAGACTGAGCTCAAGACCAAGAGCGACGAGGCCCTCAAATACCGAAAGGAAAAGGGTTCCAAGATTGCCGAACTTCAGAGGCAAAACGAAGATGCAAAGTCTCAGATTGACTCTCTGAAGCGTTCCGAGCAGCAGTTGCGCGAACGCCTTGATGCTATGCAGTCCAGGGCAGACGATGCCCTTGTCAAGCTGCAAAAGCAGGAAGGCTCCTTCGCGGCAACCGTAGAGAGCTACAAGCAGGAATTGGACGACCAGCGACGGCTTGTCGAAATGTCTGAGCAGCTCAGCAAAAAACACCAGGAACGCGTGCGAGAGCTGGAGGCCGAGAAGGAGCGTCTCAAGGACAACTACGAGAACGAACTTCGCCGCGTGCGCCTGGAGCTTGAATCTGAACGTCGGGTCACCAGCGAGATGGAGGAGCGGATCCGACGACTGGAGGGCGAACTGGACGAAGCCCAAGTCCGCATGGAGCACGCTGCTCCTGCGCCGTCTGCACCGCAGACTCCCCGATTGAATGGCTCAAACTTTGGACGGGCCAACTCCCCCTTTGGAACGCCTGGTTCTGCGCGAAACAAGTCGACCATCACTGCCACGCAGGCAATTGAGCAGCTTTACCAGGTCAAGGGTCAGCTTGCCAGCGAGAAACGGCGAAACCAGCAGCTTGCCGAAGAACTCGATGGCATGATTGCCGCCTTGGAAGCGAAGACACCGGAGATCCAGGAGCTTCAGTCCGAGGCTGAGACTCTTCGGAACGAGATTGCCCACATGTCTGAACTGTCGCAGCAGAGCTTCGAAGAGCGCGACGCAGCACGCAAGGCAGCCAGGAAAGCAGAGAGCGCTCTCGCTACAGCCCAATCCGAGAGCAAGATTCTGCGCACACAGCTGCGAGACTTGGGCACTCAGATCCAGATGCTCGTCTTTAACATCTACGCTCTGGAAAAGGGCGTGGACCAACTGACCGACGAAGAGAAGTACCGCCTGCAGCAGCTCGAGAAGGGCGAAATCACCGAGGACGCATTGTCCGATATGTCTGATACTCACCAGTTCATCACTCAGAAGCTGGTGGTCTTCAAAGATATCAAGTCGCTACAGGCCAAGAACGAGGACCTCTTGCGCATCACGCGTGAACTTGCCGAGCAGATGGAGAGCGAGGAAGCGTTGGCAGCGAAGCACCAGGCCAAGGAGGATCACGACATGGTTGAGAAACTCCAGCAGGATCTCACCCATATGATGGAAGAGATCAAATCTGCCAAGATCACCATGGAGAGCTACAAGATGGAGCGCGACATGTTCCGACGTCTTCTTCAGCAACGCGGCGCGGGCGAGGATCCATCTTCCTTCATGCGCCACTCTCTCGATGGCCGACTGCCCATGGCCAGCATTGAGTCTGCGGAGCAGACGGAGACTCTGACGGAAGCTTTGCGTAAGATACAGGCGGAATACGACAGCTTCCGAGACGCTCAGGATGGCGTGCGGAGGGACTTTAGAGACCAAATCGATCACCTGACTGCAGAGAAGAACGCGCTTCAGACTGCCAACATCAAGCTACAGGGCGAGATCAGACTGGAAGCCGAACGAAGAGAGATGCTGCAGAGCAATTATCTGGCGCTTCAGAACGAAAACAGCGAGCTTCAAAAGAGGACGCAGATTCTTTCCGAGACGGCCGCCAAACAGGATATTAGGACTCAGCAAGTTGCAGAAGAGCTCATTGAGGTCAAGGGCCTCTTGGACAGCATGCGTAACGAGACGGCCAACCTCAAGGCGGAGAAGAAGCTCTGGAAGGACATCCAAGAGCGCATGAGCAAGGACAACGACTCATTGATCGAAGAGAAGAACAGACTGGGCAACCTCTTGACGGCCCAACAATCGCTGGAAAACGAGCGCAACATTACCGAATCCGAGAACCGCCGCAAAGCACAAGCCAAGATTGAGGCTTTGGAGCTTGAGCTGAGCACTGCGCAGAAGAAACTGTCCCAGGCCGTGGAAGATAATCAACATCTCCAGCAGAGGAAAGAATATGAGGCAAAGGAATCCCAGAAGAGGATTGACGATCTCATGGCTAGCCTGAGCCAACTTCGAGAAGAGCACGTCAGCGTCAAGACGTCCCGTGATCATCTCCAAGCCCGTGTTGACGAGCTGACCGTGGAGCTGCGAAGCGCCGAGGAGCGTGCTGGACGCCTGCAGCCCCGTCCCACGCCCCGGCCGGGTCTGGTGACAGATGACAACGTGCGCCAGCAGGAGCTTGAGGCTGAGATCCAGGATCTCAACAACGACATTTCAGACCTCAAGCGTGATCTCGACATGGCCAACACGCAGTTGGAGAATGCAAAGGCCCAAGCCGAGCAATACAAGGAGCTGAGCCAGAGCAACGAAGAAGCATTGGAAGACTTGAGGGCCTCCCAGGAGCAGTACCGCCAGGAGGTTGAGGTTCTCATCCAGGAGAAGGATACGAAGATTAAGGAGCTGGGCCAGCAGATTGAAGATTTATCTGCTGAGCTGTCACGCTCAAACACCGAACTATCCGCAATCCGGGATTCGCAAGGGGAGATCGCTCGGAAATACGAAGACGAGAAGACGATTCTGGAGGAGGAGATTAAGCGGCTCAAAGAAGAGAGCAGTCGCCACGTCGAGG